CTGGGGTGAGATGAACCCAATAACGAACTGAAATATTAACATAAATAAAATTAAACTGATGTTAGTAGGGCCTGTCCAACCCTCAAAAAATGTGGGAGGCCACTGTATTCTGCCCATGAGACAAAATCAAGCAGCTCTCTCTCGCTAAGGGAGTGGGAAAAGGTGATAAAATAAAATCATACGGGCATGGGAAAGTATAAGGCTGACCCAGTCGAGATAGAAAAGTGGGGGCCAAAAAACAAACTGGGGAGGTTAGGAATCTCGGGCTGGATCATAAAAGATGTGGTCCGGGAGCAACACTTACTCGCATTAACTAGGTACACCAAAGCTTGTCTAACCTAACCGAGGGAGGGCACCACCAGAAGCCACCCCGATGTAGCGTAGGTTTGACCTAAAACAGAAAATCAAGGCTAGCCCCGTTCACACGAACCAAGCTCGCCTCAGTCACCCACCTTTCGCTGAAGACTGTCGAATGCAAGCGTTTTCTATCAGTTCTGATCTTCATCTTGAGCTGATGCTCAAAGAATCGATTCAGATCCTGATGAGAAAGACGGTTACCCCGCAAGACTTCCTCCTGTCGCGTCGTCCATATCACCATTCGGGCCGTGGCTAGCAGCGTGAGAAACACCATCCGTTTCACCCCGGAATACGGGGGCGACATTGTCACACACGTATGCGCGATCCATGGGCACGAGCTTTTCGGGGAGCGAGACGAGCCGTCAGCTCGCCGACATGGTCCCATGGGGGGCGGACCCGGGGCAATGGAAGAAGGCGTGCGAACACGTTTCCTTCAGACCAAGGCCACACCGATCGCAGTCTGGCAAGTCCGCCAAGCCCCATATGAAGGCCATGTCGTTGAGAGGCAGCCGATTCCGAGCCAGTCGCCAGGTAAGCGAAAACTCAGGGTTACTGAGGTAGTCCGCCGCTGGCCCAAGACCAGTGAGAGCGAAGCTCGTCCTCCGACATGTCGAGATCCTCGCGTAGCGGATCCTTCGCGACCCTCTCCACTAGCGAACGATAGAAGACCTTCCCTAGGCGAGAAAGGTCACTGGACCGAGGACGGCCACCAGGGCCGACCGACACTCGCGAACGAAATCCGATTCCTCCAGGGGCCTACGATGGCGCTCGGCCCGCGAGATGGGGGACTGATAGTGAGGCTAGGGAAGGCGGCCTCACAATCCCTCAATAATCGGATCTCCACCTGTCAAAGCGCGGCGTAGGAAAGCCAACCTCGAGGCACGTTTGTGGCTCCAGCAAGGTGTGGCATTCCCAGCCCCCATGACACGGACGTTGTGCACAGACTTCTCTGTCGACCCGATTCGCGCGACTCCTCCATAGAATGGAGGTTAGCGCGCGCTCGAGCGGTATCCTGTGGTCGTCACAGAGAGGAAGTACGGACAATCGATAAAGGACAAGAGGGAAAATATTGTAGCATACACTCCGCCCTGCCCTTCACGGACAACCTCCGTCGACGCCAAGTCTGACCGGCGGCGTAGACCTTTGCTCGTACTTCAGACCAATTCTTCTCCAGCTGGAGGTCGGGTCCAAACCACACTCCGAGAATGCGGACAGGACCGTCCGTCAACCGAAGGGCCCCAGAAGATCGACCCCCTTCCAGGCGCCTAGCCGCAAGCCGGACGACTTGTCGCGGTTAATCTTGGCCCCTGTCACCTTTTCGTACCGATCAAGCGCCTTCTGTACTGCCGTGATGCCTCTGCGGGACGACACGAAAGCAGTTACGTCATCGGCGTACGCGGAAACCCTGGCTCGAGCCCCGCCAGGAACGGCGATTCCGCATAGGGCACGCCCCGTCCCTTTTTTTTAATTTGTTACCTTTTCTACCCAGAAAGAAAACACCTAACCCTAACACCTAACAATAACCATAACCCGGTTTATTGTAATATATATTTTTTTTAATTTGTCCCCTTTTCTAACCAGAAAGAAAACACCTAACCCTAACACCTAACAATAACCATAACCCGGTTTATTGTAATATATATATTTTTTAATTTGTTACATTTTCTACCCAGAAAGAAAACACCTAACCCTAACACCTAACAATAACCATAACCCGGTTTATTGTAATATATATATTTTTTAATTTGTCCCCTTTTCTACCCAGAAAGAAAACACCTAACCCTAACACCTAACAATAACCATAACCCGGTTTATTGTAATATATATTTTTTAATTTGTCCCCTTTTCTACCCAGAAAGAAAACACCTAACCATAACACCTAACAATAACCATAACCCGGTTTATTGTAATATATTTTTTTTAATTTGTCCCCTTTTCTACCCAGAAAGAAAACACCTAACCCTAACACCTAACAATAACCATAACCCGGTTTATTGTAATATATATTTTTTAATTTGTCCCCTTTTCTACCCAGAAAGAAAAACTCCTAACCATAACACCTAACAATAACCATAACCTGGTTTATTGTAATATATATATATATATATATATATATATATTTTTAATTTGTCCCTTTTCTACCCAGAAAGAAAACACCTAACCATAACACCTAACAATAACCATAACCCGGTTTATTGTAATATATTTTTTAATTTGTCCCTTTTCTACCCAGAAAGAAAACACCTAACCCTAACACCTAACAATAACCATAACCCGGTTTATTGTAATATATATATTTTTTAATTTGTCCCTTTTTCTACCCAGAAATAAAACACCTAACCCTAACACCTAACAATAACCATAACCCGGTTTATTGTAATATATATTTTTTTAATTTGTCCCTTTTTCTACCCAGAAAGAAAACACCTAACCCTAACACCTAACAATAACCATTTTATTGTAATATATATTTTTTTAATTTGTCCCCTTTTCTACACAGAAAGAAACCTAAGCAAACCCCTCCTAACCCTAACACATTACCCTAAAAACTTTTAACCCATAAACATAAAATTTTGCAAAGACCATGATTATGTACAAAATAAAATTACAAAAAAAAAAAAAAATAAATAAATAAAAAATGCTAGAAACGAAATAAGCGTTTATTTTATTGTATTATTTAATTTTTTAAAAGATTTGTCCGCTTTTAATTTAAAAAAACCTTTATTGTATTATTTAATTTTATCGCACCCGGCCGGAAGTTACTGCCGGCTACTCAAACATCTAAAAGCGTCACCGCGGAAAACATAACGAATGCCGTTAACTTCCGGTGACTAAGCGTTTTTCAGTCAACGTCTCACACAAACTAAGAAAAAACGAAACATTTACCAATACTAACTTTCCTAACCAAAAACAATTACCAGAAACTACTTTATATACACATGGTGTCCGAATGGAATCCATGTGTACAGCCAAAAAGTAGAAGGTAATTTTCAGTCATCACCCCAAATATATCGCTGACAGGCTACGTTGCCGACCTCAGCCTATATATATACAGCGGATTTTTCCACCAAATTATTCTTCTCGGCTGATTTTTGGCCTCGGGGTTGAGCGACGAGCTCCCCCCTCTCACCTACGCTGACCACACGAAGCAGCAGCAGCCAAGGCCAGCAGACATCAGCAGCAGCTAGAGCCAGCAGAGCAGTCCGGCCTCCTCCTCATCAGCAGCAGCAGCAGCTAGAGCCAGCAGAGCAGTCCGGCCTCCTCCTCATCAGCAGCAGCAGCAGCTAGAGCCAGCAGAGCAGTCCGGCCTCCTCCTCATCAGCAGCAGCAGCAGCTAGAGCCAGCAGAGCAGTCCGGCCTCCTCCTCATCAGCAGCAGCTAGAGCCAGCAGATATCAGCAGCAGCCTATCCTCGGTTACATGATATGCACTAGCCTATCCTCGGCTACATGATATGCAATAGTCTGCCCTCGATTACATAATATGCAATAGTCCTTTTCAGGACTAACCTAGCCGCGTCCTTTTATTAGGACTACCAAGCTGCGATCCTGCGCGACACTCCACCCAAGGACGAACTGACTACACCACAGCACTGTCCGCGTCGATCCTCTCTCTCTGCAAGTACAGACATCCAGGGATCGACTGGACCTCGAACATCGCTGGTTCCATTCGGCCTACCTCCAAGCTGTCGCCTTGAGACCTGACAACACTCCTCCAAGACTACACGACCGAACTACTACAAACGATTATCTGTAAATATTCGTGCCAAATTTATTTAATAAAATTTGGCTTAAACTTTACATCCTCGTTTTGTTGTCCTTGCTTCGATCGTATTATCTTATATTATTTTTCCGTTTTGGGGGTTAACAGTCAACCTGCTTAGCGTCGCAACAAGTGGTGACCCCGACGTGATATTTACGATCGAGCAAGATGGCAACTGACGAGTGGGAACAGAACACTCTCATAAATGTGGCAATGCCACTCACAAACCTCCCTCCGTACAACGAGCAGAACACCAAGAACTGGTTTTTACAGCTGGAAGCCATTTTCTCGGTACGGAAAATCACATCACAACAAGCAAAATTCGTCAACGTGGTACAAGTTTGCCACCTTCAGTTGTCGACGAAGTAGCCGACATCTTGGAACACGTACCCGAGCAGGAGCCATATACTCGCCTCAAGGAGGCTATTCTGAAACGAACCGGCCGTTCGGACGAGGAACTGCTCCGGGAACTTTTTTACCCACGTCACCAGGGGCGACAGAACACCCTCACAGCTTCTACGCTTCATGAGGAGCCGACTGGGGAAACATTCCATGGCCGAATCAATCTTGCGCGAACTGTGGATGGACAAGTTACCCACTACCATAACGCAGATATTGGCACCAATCGCTGATAACACTCCACTGGACCAGTTAGCAAACTCCGCTGACCGCATCGCAACTAAACTGGACCAAGGAGTGTGCCGTGCAACGCCCAGACGACACATCAGCCAAAGAAACAGACCTGGAAAAGGTAGTAGCTGACCTGCAGCATCAGCTGCAGGATATACGAATGCTCCTTTCCCGCACATCGAGAGGCCCGATGCCGGCGACCGGCGGTTGGCGACGGAGAGCACGGAGTACCAGCAGAGTCGACCCGGAATTATGCTGGTACCATCACAGATTCGGCACCAGGGCAAAGAATTGCTCGGCACCCTGCAAATACAGCTCCAAAACCAAGTCGGAAAACTAAACAGCCGGCGGGTAGGAGCGGCAGAACCTCCCGGCAAAAACATACGAAGCCGCCTTTTCTACGTATGGGACCGACGGAACAACATAAAGTTTCTAGTGGACACGGGAGCAGCTATCAGCGTTATACCCCCCAAAGAACAGCAAGACCGAAAGGCGACCCCGTATAAACTCCAGGCAGCAAACGGCTCGACGATCGAGACATATGGAGCCAAGACACTGACTCTGAACATCGGTATGCGGCGCGATTTTACATGGACTTTCACCCAGGCAGACGTAAAAACGCCAATACTCGGTGCAGATTTCCTGGCCCATTATGATCTAGCCGTGCACATGAATACGAGAACTTTATCAGACAATACCACGAACATTGCTGTTAAAGGCACCCTCTCTCGACACAACACCACTGGAATCAGTGTGACAACTTGCCACGGACGAGAGTACATCGAGATCCTAAACAGATACTCGGACCTCATTCAACCACTCGCAGGTACCGGTCCGGCAAGACACCAAACACAGCACCATATAAAGACCAGTGGACAGCCCACTTTTTCCCACCCACGACGACTTCCTCCTCATAAGCTGGAATACGCCCAAAAGGAGTTTAACAACATGCTGCAGGACGGATTTATACGACCCTCCGATAGCCCATACGCCTCACCCCTACATCTCGTACCTAAGCCGGGAAGCACAGACTTTAGGGTATGCGTCGATTATAGAAGATTAAACGCTACAACCATACCCGATCGCTATCCGGTCCCGCATATTCACGATTTCGCCTCAGGGTTGCAGGGCACTCGCGTCTTTTTCGAAGATAGACCTAACTAAGGCCTACCACCAGATCCCCATAGCTCCGGAGGACATTCCAAAGACAGCCGTAACCACTCCCTTTGGTCTCTTTGAATACCTCAAGATGCCCTTTGGCCTGAGGAATGCTGCACAAACGTTCCAACGCTTCATAGATGAGGTACTGCGCGGCTTAACGTACGCGTATGCCTACATCGACGACATACTGGTAGCCAGCATAGATGAGAACACACACAAAAAACATCTAAACGAAGTGTTCCAAAGGATAGCACTTTATGGACTCCGGCTGAACATGGACAAATGCACTTTCGGGGCATCTGAGGTGAACTTCTTAGGCCATCATATCGACAAGGACGGTATCACACCATTACCCGAGAAAGTCGACGCGATAAAAAAACTTCCCTACGCCGACATCCACAAAGCAAATCAGGCGATTTATCGGTATGATAAATTTTTACCGCAGGTTCATCCCCAACTGCTCGACAATTCTCTCCCCGTTAACAAACATCATAGAGCGGAAGAACAAACAAATTACCCTAGAGGGAGATACCTTGCGGGCTTTCGAAACGGCAAAGACAGCGCTGATAAACTTCACAAACTCTCATTCATCGAAAACGACCCGGAAACAAGAATTTTCCTTACAACAGACGCTTCCGACGTTGGAATAGGAGCAGTAGTGGAGCAGCAAGTGAACATGACGAGACAGCCGATAGCCTTCTTCTCAGCTAAACTCTCTGCAGCCCAGAGAAGATACAGTACCTTCTCACGAGAACTCCTGGCGATCTACCTGTCCATACGTCATTTTCGACATCTTCTGGAAGGCAGACATTTCACTATCTTCACGGATCACAAAAACCACTGACCAACGCGATGAATGTCAGCGCAGACAAGTATACATCCCGTGAAACACGTCACCTCGACTACATCTCACAGTTTACGACGGACATCAGACACGTCCAAGGAAAGAACAACACCGTCGCAGACACATTGTCCAGAACAGACGTCAATACCATGGATAACGATGTTTGGAGCCAGGAGCTGATAGCCGACAAACAAAAGACGATACGACGATACCTGACATCATTAAGGAGACTTCTTTGAAACTGCAGGAATTCCCGTGTCCGTTCAGCGATAAAACTCTTTTCTGTGACACCGCACTGGATACTCCGAGACCGTACATTCCTCCATCTCTTAGAAAAAAAAGTATTTCTCCATCTCCACAATCTATCCCATCCGAGCAAGCGAGCAACCGTCAAGCTTATCGCCGATCGATTTGTGTGGCCCAACATGAATTCAGACATTAGGAATTGGGTCTCAACCTGCATACAATGTCAGAAATGCAAAATTCAGAGGCACACAAAATCACCAGTTGGAACATTCGCCACACCCGACGCACGTTTCAGCCACATCCACGTTGACCTCGTCGGGCCTCTACCAATGTGCCAAGGGTACCAATACCTTCTAACAATCATAGACCGTTTTTCGAGATGGCCAGTCGCTGTGCCGATTAGGACATTTCCGCTACCACAGTTTCTAAAGCCATTCTCACCAACTGGATTACTAACTTTGGCGTACCACAAGTTCTCACTACAGATCGGGGACCACAATTTCAGTCCTCGCTTTTCCGAGAATTCTCTCAACTTTTGGGTGTCAGACACATTAAAACGACGGCTTACCATCCTTGCGCAAACGGCCTCGTGGAGAGATTTCACCGATCCCTAAAGACGTCCCTGTCAACCAAACTCGACATACACAACTGGGTCGACAACCTCCCCATGACCATGCTCTCTTTGCGGAATACCCTCAAGACGGATTTAGGGTGTTCGACAGCAGAGCTCGTGTTTGGTACGCCTCTCTCTTACCAGGGCAATATTTTCACCTTCCGCAGTACTCTTGCACATCCACACCAAGTTCTTTCGTGCAAGATCTGCGCCACAAAATGGACAAACTTACATACACTCCCCACGAAAACAAACCACAAGCTCCTACTTACCACAGAAATTGGATACCTGCGATTTTGTTTTTGTTAGGAACGACGCCGTAAAAAAACCTCTCACACCTAGCTACCAAGGCCCTTTCAAAGTTCAGAAGCGTTCTAAGAAATTTGTCACGATCATGCGCGGCAAAAACAAAGATACAGTCTCCATCGACCGACTTAAACCAGCTTGGTTAGAGGAAACTTCTCCCGAGCCAGACTTACCAACAACGACGGAAGATGAAACAACAACACCAGTCGTACGAACAAAATCAGGCAGAAGAGTTCATTTTCCTGCCAAACTAAAGACTTACATTCTTTTGTGAATTGATCACGATCAATCCTCTAGGAAGGGGGCCTTATCGCACCCGGCCGGAAGTTACTGCCGGCTACTCAAACATCTAAAAGCGTCACCGCGGAAAACATAACGAATGCCGTTAACTTCCGGTGACTAAGCGTTTTTCAGTCAACGTCTCACACAAACTAAAAAAAACGAAACATTTACCAATACTAACTTTCCTAACCAAAAACAATTACCAGAAACTACTTTATATACATGGTGTCCGAATGGAATCCATGTGTACAGCCAAAAAGTAGAAGGTAATTTTCAGTCATCACCCCAAATATATCGCTGACAGGCTATGTTGCCGACCTCAGCCTATATATACACAGCGGATTTTTTTCCACCAAATTATTCTTCTCGGCTGATTTTTGGCCCGGGGTTGAGCGACGAGCTCCCCTCTCACCTACGCTGACCCACACGAAGTGGCAGCAGCCAAGGCCAGCAGACATCAGCAGCAGCTAGAGCCAGCAGAGCAGTCCTCCTCCTCATCAGCAGCAGCAGCAGCTAGAGCCAGCAGAGCAGTCCGGCCTCCTCCTCATCAGCAGCAGCAGCAGCTTGAGCCAGCAGAGCAGTCCGGCCTCCTCATCAGCAGCAGCAGCAGCAGAGCCAGCAGAGCAGTCCGGCCTCCTCCTCATCAGCAGCAGCAGCAGCAGAGCCAGCAGAGCAGTCCGGCCTCCCTCCTCATCAGCAGCAGCTAGAGCCAGCAGATATCAGCAGCCTATCCTCGGTTACATGATATGCACTAGCCTATCCTCGGTTACATGATATGCACTAGCCTATCTCGGCTACATGATATGCACTAGCCTATCCTCGGCTACATGATATGTACTAGCCTATCTCGGTTACATGATATGCAATTAGGTTCATCCTCGGTTGCATGATATGCAATAGTCTGCCCTCGATTGATTAATATGCAATAGTCCTTTCAGGACTAACCTAGCCGCGTCCTTTTATTAGGACTACCAAGCTGCGATCCTGCGCGACACTCCACCCAAGGACGAACTGACTACACCACAGCACTGTCCGCGTCGATCCTCTCTCTCTGCAAGTACAGACATCCAGGGATCGACTGGACCTCGAACATCGCTGGTTCCATTCGGCCTACCTCCAAGCTGTCGCCTTGAGACCTGACAACACTCCTCCAAGACTACACGACCGAACTACTACAAACGATTATCTGTAAATATTCGTGCCAAATTTATTTAATAAAATTTGGCTTAAACTTTTACATCCTCGTTTTTGTTGTCCTTGCTTCGATCGTATTATCTTATATTATTTTTCCGTTTGCGGGGTTAACAGTCAACCTGCTTAGCGTCGCAACAATTTGTTCTTTTAATTTGTCATTGCTATTCTACACGGAAAAAAGGTTCTATTGTATTATTTATTTTTTTTTGTTATAAATAAAACTACACTTAAGAAAAAAAAGAAGAAAATTACATTTCTTTACGGTAGTGCATAGTGATTTTATGCATCGAGAGTCTAAAAAACTAAAAATAAATAGGCCAAAATTTATGCTTACACCAGCTGAAGTACTCAGCACTACATTACTGAAGATTATGGCAGTAATGAGGGACGAATGACCAACAAGAAGTCCGATTTTTTCTTGTCGATAACTCTAAAAAAAAAAAAAAAAAAAAGGTAGGTTTCTTCATAATTTAATTGTTAATTCGAGTTCAGTATGTACATTTAAACGGAATTATGACGATTTGGGAAAATTTTAAGAGATATTTAGCGCGGCCGTTAAAAAACAAATCTAGCAATGCCGCAAAAATAGGACCGAACTAAGATTGTCGATATTTCCGGAAACGGCATTCATCCGCAAATTTTTATTGTCATTTTGAAATTAATCAGGCAATTTCATGCTAGGATGGAAGTTTTCCTTACAATTGGTTTCAAATTTACCTTCAAAAGTAATTATTTCTAGGCAACTTTTCTTGTTCTTGGTTGTTAAAGATCACTAATAATAATAATAATAATAATAATAATAATAATAATCTGGAAGTCCATGCCTCAAGGAGATACAAAAAAAATTGTTCTGACAAGGGCTTTATCTATGTAATTTAATTCTTTTTTTTTTTTTTCTTGTCAGTGGAAAGTGTCAAAACGCCATTTCTAACCTTAGGGCCCTGGGCAGGACCCGGAAAGAAATGTGTAAACGCCAGAAATCAAAGAAAATTAATAATAATAATAATAATAATAATAATAAAACAGGAAGTCATGTGATGTACATTGACCCCAAAAAAAAAAGTGAAACTGGGTTTTACGAAGAAAAAATCTATTTTCCTGTTTCATTTCTGCAACTAGTTTGACTTTAAAATCCTAAGCCACTCATCACATTCAACTTGGAAGCGTTCAATAGTTTTTTCCTTTCTACTACAATGGCTAGTAGCAACGACAAACAAACATTTGGATTATTACTTCAATGTGCTTTATGTAACGAAGAGCTAGTCAACAGGCAGCCGAAATCGTTACCGTGTTTACACACTTTCTGTACTCAATGTTTAACTTATAATCGCCGACAATTCATAGAAAATGAAAATATTTTATGTCCAGTGTGCCATACAAGTGTTGGCCGGTTACAGGGACATTTAGAAATAACCCACAGCTTGCAAGTGGACGTGATCATTGAAAAACTGTTAAAAGTACGTCGTTTACAGCAAAGTAAACGACATTGTGAAATGTGTACCGAGGGTGGGGTAGCCAGCCACTGGTGTCAGGACTGTAGCAAACTTTTGTGTGATTTGTGTCTCGTTCACCATGGAAGATATAAACCTAAAGATAAAGTAATTGATGTATCCCAAGGAGTAGACAGTGATAATGTAAGGGATTTTATTTTACCAAGTAAATGCCTTCATCATGAGAAAAAGCTGAAAATGTATTGTGTGCAATGTGAAACCTGTCTGTGTTCAACGTGTTCATTAGAACATCTTTCCGATAAAAATGTGAATTGCGTACCAGTTTTCATTGAAAAAGTGGCTCCGGACACAAAAGTGAAAGCACAACTACTTTTGAACCAAACGTTCTCTTATTTAGCAAAAGAGAAAAAAGAAATCGATGATATGAAAGTTAAAAATGATGATTTAAAAAGAGAGTTTTCGGCAAAAAGTGAAGAGATCTGGGAGCATATGGAAGAGACTGTGAGGAGATTAAAAGAAAATGCCCGCGACTTTATATTAGAATTGGAAGCCGAGACAAAAAAGGAAACAGACAAATTAGAAAGATTAATTCAGCTTAGAAAAAAACATGTTAGCAAGATAGAAATCATTGATAATAACTTTCGCCAACTTTTGCAGTCATTTGACAATGTTGATATTTTAATCAATTTTTCTCGGTTGAAATCGAAACGTAAGAATTTGCTTACGGAAACTATGAAGGATGGTTCAAATACTTTTATACATGGAGTGAATATGGCGTATAATAATTGGTATTTGAAAACACATGAGATGTCCAAGAATATACCATTGGCACAGTGTTTGAAGGATTCAGAATTGACAGAAGGTGCTACTGCTTCAGGCAAAAATTTAATTACAAAGAAAATATCAAATATGCCCCCAGTGCCAAGTTTGCGTTATCCGTTTGAAATTGAAGGCTTGTTCGATAAGGAAGTGCAGGATGCATCCTGTCTTTTTGTAACAGATGATAAAAAACATATTTTGGTAGGTGGTGGTGCATATGGCACATTGTATGAATACACAACATCAAATGTAAGACGTGGAATTTATGTAGAAAAACGAATGAAATATTGCGTCGACATATGTTCTTTTTCATCGGATAAAATTTGCGTTGTTGATGGCAATTTGATCTTGTTTCAAATAAATCAAACTTCGCCTTTTCTGACATTTTTCAAACGAATAAAACCCGATGTCAAATATTATTCAATTTGTAACTGTTTTGGGGAGATTTTAGTGTGCGATTATAACTGCGACGTGCATTTATTGACTGATAAAGGGACTGTCGATAGAACGGTCCTTGGCCGAAAGAGAAGCCAAAGTTCACATAACATAATACGCAGTGGTCCTTTTAAGGGTACTTTTTTATTCTTTGATGACAACGACGGGATTCTATCCTGCTACCGTCTTTTCGATAGTAAATGCCTCTTTTCATTAAAAGTCGGATATATTCATGATCTGTGTACAGATAAATATGGTAACATTTTCGTTGTTGATAAAGAAAAAATGTATGTATTAAATCCTGATGCTTCAGAAAAACATAACATTTTTTCTTTCGTGAGAGACTCGCACATTAGACGGCTATTTGTAAAAGACAACGCCCTTTATTTTCTTTGTGATATTATTATTAATAGGTATAATATACGCAAATTTGATTTGCATTATGACGAAGTTCAATGCAATGAAATACCACTGTTTGAAATAGTACAAATGTAAAAAAAAAAACAAAAAAACTCAACCACCTCTCTCTCTCTCTCAGCAACTTGCCGCGTGAATTAACTCAACTTACAATTAACTAAAAAAAGTGAACACTACGAAATAGTAATTGTATATTTAGTCAATTTATAACATATCAGTCAAAGATACATAACTCCTCATAACTTAAATCAATATTTACAATTGTTACACACTAATATTTGAACTCACACAACTGACATTTTACCATGCAGAATTCAAACTGTTTTAATTTCACAGACAAACTTCACAGACCATCAACATTCATACATCAAATCACTGCATGGTCACTCCTAACAATTGTATCTCACATTTAACAAGCAATCTTATTATCACTTTTTGTGTATGTCAAATATATAAATTCATGTTATTTGTTGAAATCTATAACTACGTTATTTTTCCTTGATTTCTTCGAATTGAATTATCTACAAATGTTTGTTTAATTTATTTGTTGTGGATGAATGCTTTACAAACATGCACACATATAGGCCTTCACACAATCTCACCTTCCTACACATCCTACTTAGCACAGTTTCCACAACATACTCCTCCGATATGGAATAGCAGTCATTCAATGTGAGATTCAGAATTATTTTCTTTTTGTACATCCATATAATCTAAAAGTTGCTAAAGGAAAAATTATTCTCTTAAAAAAAAGGTTCACACTCAAAAATGATATTAAGCTTTAATTTAGTTTTTAAATTTTCAAGCATGTTTTTATTTTAATAAAACAGTAAACACTTGTAACAAGCAACAAGATTAATAATTTCAAAGTTGCATAATTAAGTTTAGTAGTTTTTTTCTCTGTCGAATCTGCAAGAAAATAACCAATAATGTGTTTTAATTGAAATTTAATTAAAACATGTTATTGTTTAATTATATTGTATGTGTAATTTAATTATAATACAAGTTAACACCACTTCTCAATAAAAAAAAAATTTATTGAGTTGTTTTTGGCAAGATGCCAGCCGAATTTTCTGTATATTCACATTCAATATTGTGTAAACTTTAAAATCTTCTGGGATTTCTTTTTTTATATAATTAATAAAACATAACGAACACCTACCAAATTACAAAGTAAACGTGATATCGAAAAGGGAGTGTGAAGCATACCCATAGAAATATTTCAAAAAAATTTTTTAATAAAATGACCTATTCAGTAAAACATTCAGTTCATTTAATTTTAATAAATCCTGAAAATTTCGTTTGAATCGGATAATTGCCTCAACTTTGGCAAATATTTAAAACAGGTTTTGCTGATTTTTCTTTACCTTCATTGCAGAAAAAAAGTATCCATTTTTTCTTAAAAAATAATTTAATTCATTACAGAATAAAGTTTCATTAAAATCCAATAAATATCCGATTTCTGTGCCAGAATTTCCAAATTAATATTTTTCACTGCAAAAAAAAATTATTCATAGAAATTAAATGTTCCAGAAAAACAAGAATGGGAGGAAATCAAGGAAAAAGAATGAAATCATTAACAAGAGAAATTAATTTAGCCATTGAACATACATGCATTGGCTTAATTGATGTTTGTAGATATTTGTTAAGTTGTGTGTTTAATTTTGTTGTATTTGGAGAATTTACCACAGACTATTTAGAAAATGAATTTGGGAAATTAAAACAAAGTTTCAGAGGTACATATTTTATAACAATTCAAAATGTTATTGAAAAATTTCATATTGAAAAAAATAAACTACTTCTTAAATGTTGATGACAAAGAAT